ATTTCTTGTGATGCTGTCTGCACGCAGTGTCCAGATCCCCTTCCTAATGGGACTTGGAGGCTTTGGAGTTTTGGCAATCTCTTTTTCTAATTCTGTGCCATTTGATTAGCATCGAATGTCCTCTTTGGTGCCTGTGCCACCATCGCAGGTTTCAGTGGTAAACACAATAGACAAAATCCTGAAAGCACAGGGCATTTAACTTTTTAAGTCTTCTTTTGAGACCCTTGCTTACTCGTGAATCTGTACGACAGTGATTCTAAAAATAGGTATGTGAAGGTTTTGTGTTATCAATATTTTAAATCCACCAGAAAAAATTGTCATTTAAAAATAGACGCTATTAGACCTGGTTCAGTTAGTAGAGTACTCAGAAGCAAGGGTGCTTGATCTTCAAAGTCTATGTAAAAACAAAGGCTGACTTGGGGCTGTTGATGGCTCAGCAGTTAAGAGTAGGTACAGCACCCACATCAGGCAGCTCACAAAGACCCACAGTTCCAGCTCCTGGAGCTCTGACACCTTCTTCTGGCCTCTTCAGGCACTTGCATACATATGCACACACCACACCACACCACACCACACACACACACACACACACACACACACACACACACACACACACACACTAAAATTCATTAAACAATTAAACAAGAATGTGTGCTTGGGAATTCCACTGTCTGGGAGACAGACAGACCCCGACAGACCCCTGGAGCTAGCTAGTCAACCATGCTAGCTTACTTGTTTCACTCCAGGCCAGTGAGAACTGAGAACAAACAAAAACGTAGGAGGTGAATGGCACCTGAGGAGCAAGATTGGATGTTGTTTTCTGGTGTTTTCATGTGCATGTGCACACCCACACACATGGGATCCCACCCTCCCACATACATGCAAGATACTTAATTTGTAATCTTAGAGAGTTGGGTTCATATACATCTTGTATTTTCTAAAGAGATGCGTATGTTTAGCATATAAAAAAAAAACTGTCCCAGAAAATGCAAATTTTAGTTAAGTCTATCACCCACTTGACATGTGTGACATCGAGGTTAGGTTAATCCATCACTGGGTTCTCTCATAACTCCCTTCAGGTTTTTTTTTTTTTTTTGTTTTGTTTTGTTTTTTTTTATACCTATACAACAACGAAATCACTAGTGGGCGCTAAGAGCACACTTATTTGACCCAAAGTTCTCAGTGTGAGCTTTATGATGCTTGCTAGCAAAAGCCCTAGCCTTGTGTTAAACTAGCACTCTAACGGAATAGCCAGTTTCATGGGTAATTGGCCCTCTAAACTCCCTGTCAAATATCTTCAGGTCAGAGGACAGCAACTCCTCTAGAACTTTGCAGTTCTGTGACCAACTGTGGGAACGTGGAGAGGTGACCCGACAGTTTCGGTGAGAAAATAAACCGAGATGAGACAGTCTGGGAACCCACTGGTAAGACTTTCTGGGTGTGGTTGGACCAGGATCCACGTCAGGGTGGAAGGGGTGCCTGACATTCCGAGGGGCCTTGGAATACTGGCTTATTGAGTTGTATTAGGTGGGAAGTCAGATCCCTATCACAGGGAAGACTTGAGATGCAGTCACAGTAAGGAATGTGGGAGAACCCCTACCTCAAATAAAATAAATTGAAAAAGGAAAACAAAAAACAAGAGAGATCTGATGGACTTTCACCAGAACCCAGAGAGCCTTGCCATGGGATTGCATCCTCCACATCTAGTGCCCAAAAGCTACATCCTATGGATAGTGAAGGACTCTCAGGGCTTTTGTCCACGTGTTGGTGACTGGTCTCTGTGCTTCAGTGGCTTCCTGGCTTCCTTTGGAGTGGATAATCTTTTGACTCATGCCTAATTTATAAAGCCATGTTATATGCCTGCTGCTCCCTCCCCAGGTAGCATTTTGTGTGTACTTGTCACCAGAAAATGATAATAATAATTAGTTAGCTTACATTTTCAGGTGCTATATGGTACCTTAATCTTTATAATACACCTAGGGGAAAATTCACCCTTCTAATTCCCAAGTGAAGATGGGTGAAGGAACTTTTCTAGAAGGAATGTGTACCTTGGATGTTGTTCTCCAAGACAGAAATTTTGACAGCTTAGCAAGTCATTTTACTACTTTGTGCCTGAGTTCTGAAATCTGACTTTGAAAATGTGTGTGCCTCTGTGTGTGTGTGTGTGTCTCTCTCTCTCTCTGTGTGTGTGTGTGTGTGTGTGAAAGAGGGAGAGAGAGATTGTTGGCACTAGTATGCATGTGTGAGACTTGTGGGCAAGTAGGTTTTACTCAACTCTGATTGAGCTGTCATGTGTAGGACATTAATTCTAATGGGGTTCCAAGAATATAAATTTCATAAACAGTTTTGCACTGCTTGGATTTTTAGAAACATTATTATGTGTACTGATGTTTTGCCTGCATGTATGTTTGTGTGAAGGTGTTAGATTGAGGAGTTACAGGCAGTGTGAGCTTCCATATGAATGCTGGGAATTGAACTCAGATCCTTTGGAAGAGAAGTCAGTGCTCTATAACCACTGAGCTGTCTCTCAAGCCCCTGTGCTTGGGGTTTTTTATATCTTATATTGTACTTAGTACAAAGCTAGTTTTGGTTGTTGTAAGAGAATATGGGAAAACATCCAGGTTAATAAACCCCATGATGAAACACTCTGTAGACTTGATATTTCATTCAAAAAGAGGATATAGTCCTACAAAATTGTTTGTGCAAATGCTTACCTAATATGAATGCAAGAAGGATGCAAAAGCAAGAATTCTGAGCACCATGGTAGCCAGGTTTATTGAGTATTTGTACCAGACATTACTTTCAGCTCTGTACGTATAGTGACTTGCATACTCATAAAAAGAATTACATTAGGTTCTATGTCCACCCCCACTTTACAAATAAGAGGGGCCAAAGAAACATTAAGTAGGGTTGGTGAGATGGCTCAGGTAGAGGCACCTATCACCAAGCCTGAAGACTGGAATTTGATTCCTGGGACCCACACAGAGGAAGAGGAGAACTGACTCCTGAAAATTGTCCTCTGACTTCTACACATGTGCCAAGCAACACACTCACACATGTATACATGCACACAAAATAAGTAAATAAAAATGTAATTAAAAAGGTATATCTGTGAAATTTCTCAAGGAATGAATACAAATATTATATTTTAAAAAAGCACTGTGAAATGTTTTGATCCCATAGCCAGCAGTTGTGGAGCCGGGAATAGAACTGTACAGCCTGGCCTGGTTGCACAAACAGTAACTGACATTGTCAGCAGTACCAGCCCCACACCAAGCGCACTGCAGGGTTATCCCACTGAGCCCACAGTAGCACTAACAAAGTGTTTACCATCCTCACTCCAAAGCCAAGAACACAGGCTAAGAGACAGTCCACTGTTTCCTCAAGGCCAGTCACTCTAGAAGACTGGGTGACATGCAGTGACTTCAGCATGGGAGTGGCTATGGTAAGCTCTACACCAACAGTGCATGATTGGTATCTGAGGCTTCAGAATGTTGAACACTAAGTTTTTGTGTTTGTTGAAATCCTTCACCATCTTAAATAGAATAGGTGGGGAACAGAAAGTGGCCTACATGACTAGGTCAAGAATACTTTCAAGAATAGTTCAGGACATACAGTAAGAGAAGCCAAATGCTTGCAAGATTTACAACTGTGCAAGCCTGAAGCTATAACTGAGTGGCAGATCACTTGTCTGGCATGCTCAAGTCTCTGGGTTCATCCTCACCAAGTACCTCCTTCCACCCGAGGGGCACACAACGGGCCTAATCCGAATGCACATAGAGAAGGAGGCTGTCAGGCTGTGGTTGCTGATAGCTTCTGCTTCCCATCTATCTGGGTTGGCGATTTCCTCAGTGGACAATAGAAGCTAACTTATTTACCGTGATCTGGGCAAAGTGCCTCACTTTTAATGTATCAGAAGTGGAACACCGAGCTCTGTAGGGACGTTCAGAAAGTGATAACCAGACTGGGCTCCCAGGGACACTCAGGGACAGTGATGAGATAGGCCCAGGGATTTTCATTTTCTCCTTCCTGTCTGTGTGAACTTGAGGAACTCACCCTTTTGGGGGCTGATTCTTTGGTGTGGAATTGACAGTTGTTCCCACTACAAAGTGTGAAGAATTCAGTGAGCTATAATATAAAAACACATGTACATAATAATCATTAACAACAGTGCTGTGTGTAGCTATTGTCATCGCTATTGTGGCTGGAGCTAGCTGCTGGTTTGCCACCACAGGAAAGCATCTTTATTGTTTTATTCATTTCTTGTGGAGTGTGTGTGTGTGTGTGTGTGTGTGTGTGTGTGTGTGTGTGTGTTGTGTATGCTGTGCATTAAGAGGATGACCCATGTCCTGCTCTGGCACCATCCACCACTGAACCTGGAGGTAGGGTGGCAATTGGCTAACTCCAGAGATTCTCTGCCTCAGCCTAGCTGCACTGGGGCTGCAGGCCACACTGGGCTTTTTTTGTTGGGCACTGAGGATTGGGATTCAGATTCTCGCGTGTGCGTGTGTGTGTGCAGCAAGTGATCTCACTAAGCCATCTTCCAGTCTTTTCTTGTAATAACATCGGAGTGCTGGTCCCCTCGGTTCCTTAGGAAACTTCAATAAGACACTGTACTGGGTACCTTTGGAAGAGTTTACAGCTGTGAAGAGAGAGAAGTTGAAGAGGAAGACCCAAACAGAGAGACGAGAGGCCTCAAGAAGAGAGACTCTGCTCAGTAAACAGGAGCAGGGTACGCCCCTTGCTCTCTGCTGGTCTCCATTGGGATGGGATTAATTTACTTTTTCCAGCACTGACCGTGCATCACCCAGCCCCTGCTGCCCCTCCCCGCCCCCTGCTTCCTTCCACACCCCGTTCCGGAGCCCGGCTCACGATTGGCCGGCTCCGCCCGGAGCTGTCTCGGATTGGCGCTTCCCAGCCGGGTCCACCGAGTTTAAAGAGGGGGCGGGGGCGCGCTGCCCAGCAGCTCTGCTGTCCCAGCCTGCGCACCTGTTTTCACAGCAGCGCTTGCAGCCTCTCCAGCTCCAACTCGCGTGTCCTGGAGCCAGAGGATCGCGAGGGCGGCAGAGGGCAAGCCTAGGGCAGATCCTGTCCTGGCCGGCGCAAGAGGCACGCACAGTTTGAGGGTTGAGCCCCGTGAACGTCGCTGCAGCCACTATGGTAGCCACGTGCCTCCAGGTGGTGGGCTTTGTCACGAGCTTCGTGGGTTGGATCGGGATCATTGTCACCACGTCTACCAATGACTGGGTGGTGACCTGCAGCTACACCATCCCAACCTGCCGAAAAATGGACGAGTTGGGCTCCAAGGGGCTGTGGGCTGACTGCGTCATGGCCACTGGTCTCTACCACTGCAAGCCCCTGGTGGACATCCTAATCCTCCCGGGTAAGGACCATGAGCTTGCAAACAGCTTCCAGAGGCAGGCTGGGCCAGAGTTGGGGGTTTTAGACAGGGTTCTTGGAAGTTTGGGCACTGAGAGACCTCTGGGTACATATAGTTTTGACATTTCCAATCCCACTTGTAGGAGAATTAGCCCTCAACAACCACCTGTTGGTCTCAGTTTCTTTATCTGGAGCGTGGGGTAACAAAGGCAATTTGGCCACCGGTTACACTGGTCAATGGCTTTGAAAATTTAATGAATCCAATCCTATACACATGGTAGGAACCCACTCTTGTTAATTCCCATTGCTCCATCATCCCAGGTTCCCAAACTAATCGACCAAAGATACTGAAGGCTGGCCCTGCCTTCTCTGATGTGCTTCTGATTAGCGTCAGTCTATAGCTCGCAGGAGGAAAGCACACAGTACGAGTGAGCAACCTAGTGCCTCCATAAGTATAGGCTGAGCTTCTGAGACCGGATGGGACTCAGAGCCATCCTGGTGAGGTTATGTTCACACTCAAGAACTCTCTGGATTGGCCAGATTAGTGAATCTCAGTTGTTTCTCTCAGGGCCTTATCTGATCCATCACCCCCTGGGGTCCTGGGGTCCCTCAACAGCAGGCTACAGTGACACCCCTCCCCTGCTAGGGTGACACCCTCCCCCAGTTCCTCTGAGCAGGCTGCTGGGTATTGAGAAGCTCCAGTACCCTGAGAGAGGGACATTTCACCAGAGACATAGGTCAGTGCTGAGGGTCATTCCAGGGCTTGTGGCTGTGTGCTCAGGAGTGTGATGAGCCTCTGAAACGCTGGGTGAGGCAGTTTGGGAAGGGACATCTCCTTTTGGGTGCTATGGGAAAGTTTGTGGAAACAGTTTAAAAACCAGTTGGATGACTTGGGAGGTTGTGAGCACCACTTACAGATCCCTGCTAGAAATCTGTCATGCCAGTGGATTTATTGTCTCCTAGGTGAGGTTGCCTAGCTCCCTCTGGCCTTTGATGATGCGTGTTATTTAAGACAGCCAGTCCTTAAGATGAGGCGAAATCAGCCCTAAAGTTACTGGTCTGAGAGCAACTGAATTTGTGCCTTCTCCAGAATATTTGGCTTTCCAGAGACCCTGTACCTCCTTGAGGAGCCCAAGTGCTCCTCTCTTCCAGACAGAGCATTTGGAATTCACCTTCCTCCACCCAGCTCACTTACTGCTAACTTCTAACCTTCATCCCGGGATGCAGTACTGGAATTGAACCTGGGGCTTTGTTCCTGTTAGGTGAGCTTTCTGCAGACTGAGCTATACTGCCACCCCCCACCCCCATTACATTTTAAGTTCTCTTTGCATTTGCTTCTGGCCCACACCTTGCCTCTACCACATAGTAGGAGGGCACAGTGCAGGTCAGACCTGTCTTTCACTACGACTTTCTCCATTTGGACATTTGGAAGGCCAGGCATTAGGGAACCCTGGTGTGGTTAATGCTGGCTTTGGTAGACATGGGTCAGACTCCAGGACTCAGCACTCATGATCTGGGTAACCTGGGACAAGTTGCTAACCTCAATAAGCCCTAGTAGTCTTCTTTAAAGAATTTAAACCAAACCAACCACTTATCTTTCAGGATTGCTTGCAGGAGTCAATGAGATGAGAAACCAAAGGCCCCGTTTGAAGTGGGAGATGCTCTAGAAAGGGAAATGTCGTTTTCTACTAGCAGATGGGCATGGCAGTAGAGATTTCTGACTGGTGCATGAAATCCTTTTGTTTCCTTCCCCTGGAATTACATTTCCTGAGCTTTCGATGCCAAGAGGCTTGTTTTCAGAGGACACAGGCAGGCCATGCTGGGGGCAGGGAGTTTTTGTGGAGAAGCTTAATTGTTCTATGCTTCCTTACCTTACCCATCGTGTGGGGGTAGAGACACTCCTCTATCTCTGACTTCTGACTCCCAGACATGGCCTTGGGACTGTAGCGCATGGACAGCCTTGTGCCATGAATTTCAGAGCATCAGTTTAACTTGACTGCTGCCTTTGTGTAGGCCCTGGCTCTTCTCCCAGATGCTAGGAGGGGCTGGGCTTCAGATTGTTCTGGGGCTCCTCCTGGGATCCACAAGTCTATGATACCTGATAGGTCTCTCATTCTTAAGATGAGATGGACAGTGGTTGGAAGGGAGCCCATGCGGCATACCTTCTTAAAGGGCAGTGCTGGTGCTGTACATTGGCACAAAAGGGAGGTTGGCTGGGTCTGACATGGGGTCCTGCTACATGGGAAAGAGTTAGGGTCAGTTCTTGACTTTGCCATTAACTCAGCCTCACTCAGGCCTCTAGCTCTAACTCTGCCTAAGCAAATGAAACAAACCAGACGGCCATCATTTATAAATGCAACACTTTTTTTTTTTTTAAAGTGGGGAGAATGTTTCAATGAGAAACAATAGATGACATAAAAGTAAACAGTAAATTTAAATCTGTGAAATTCTCCTGGTATCTGTTCAGGTTTATTTTACATGACATTGTGCTGTAAAGTTCTCACTTAGACATTTTATAGTGTGGATATCTTTGTTTTGCATTTTTCTATCAACTCACCTTTTCCTACGTGGATAGTTAGCTATGTCATCTGTTATGGGGACATGAAGACCAAGACAGGTGTCTACAGGAGTCCCCAGGGTTGGAGTAAATGCTTGGCTGCTGCATCATGGCCAAGTTCCTGCTTCTGTTTTTCTAGCACTCACACTGCTATTATCACCAGGTCCCTTTAAAAGTACCACATCAATACAGACCAATAATGTCAGTGATATTTGCTGCCAATTGTTTCAGTTCTTAGCATAGAACATTTCCTAAAGACTCTTTGAACTGTGGATTCTGTTGCCAGTGGAATTCTATTAAGGAGGTGAAGGGCCTTTTATTATTATTATTATTATTATTATTATTTTCACTCTGCAGAAAAACAAGTTAGATGCAGTAATAACTGACTTGCTAAGGTTCCACAGGCAGACGGTATCGCAGTAGACTAGGGTGAGTCAACAATCCACCATCACAGGTGACCTTTTGAGCATTTGAGTTTCCAGCTGAATCTTTGACAAGTTGTTATAATAATGTAAGTAAATGCTTGGCTGCTGCACTGTGGCCAAGTGGTCTGCACCCTTTCCTGTTCTGTTTTTCTAGCACGCACACCACTGTTTTCACCAGGTCCCTTTAAAAGTTGAAGGTGCGGTGATCTTGGACATTTATCACATTTTAAGTCTTATAGAGGGGGCAAGAAGGAAGAGGAAGGTGGTGTTGAATTCCTGAGAGAGGTGGGATTTAGGAGTAAGAGGACCCCTAGTCTAACCCACCCTTTCTGTTCTCTTGTTCCCAGGCTACGTGCAAGCTTGTAGAGCCCTCATGATTGCTGCCTCAGTTCTGGGGCTGCCAGCCATCTTGCTGTTGTTGACGGTTCTTCCCTGCATCCGAATGGGCCACGAGCCTGGAGTGGCCAAGTACAGGCGAGCCCAGCTGGCAGGGGTGCTCCTCATCTTGCTGGGTAAGCTTTCTTTTTGCCCCGCCCCCCAATTCTAGTGAATGTGAAGGAACTCAGTCCTTACAGTTGCTACTTCAAGAGAAATGTGAAAAGAAGTCAAGAGAACATACCCGGCAACAGAAACCCAGAATGGGTATCGCTTTAGATCATATTCCAGAGGAGTTTAGATAGGCCCCTAGGTTACATCCATGAGAGGAGCTGGTAGGTTAACAGGAAATGACTACCCAAGCAAAATCAGAAGGAAGGGGGTCACATGGAGCTTCTCTAAGCAGGCTCCCCAGTACAATCCCTTTAGAATGACTTGTTCCCAGACTTCATAGCAGATCAGTTGAACTGGAACTTTCTGGAGATCAGGTCAGGAAAGATATTTTTAGGAGGCTGCCAGGGTGACTCTCACTTCAATAAGAAATGAGCGCCTCATTAATATATAACAAAAGAACAGGGGAAGGGGAGCATAAAGGAAAATGTGTGTGTGTGGGAATGGGGTGGGGTAGACCAGTAGGTGATGGGTCAATATTTTTTCAGTAAGTGTTCATTAATCAAGCATAACAGGCCCTTTGGTAGGGCAATGGGGACCATGATGAAGAGAAGGAATGTCTTCTTTGGGTGTATATAGGCACTCCAAGATACGGATTCTGAGAAGGGTTGCCTTAAAATGGCTGGTATGCACTATACAGGGAGGAAGGCTCCCACTGGAGGGGTTTCCCACTGCATAGGAATCCAGAGGGTTGAAGAGACAGTGACAGGTCATTGTTTGGAGGGAGGACCAATCTAAACTCAGGAAGTGGTGTGTGCTCATTCAGTTTTGTTGATCATACCTGTACACAGGAGCTTGATCTGACTCCCTGCTGAGGGTCTTGTCTCCTGTACTGTAAAACTAAATGCAGGCAAGATGTATACATGTATTCTTAGCCCTCCCAAGGTGAAGGCAGGAGGATCAGAAGTTCAAGGTCATCCTCTTGGCTAATGAGGGTAGCCTGAGATACATAAGACTCATTGGGACATGAGATACACTGTCTCAAAAAATACAGTTTTTCTCTTCATTTCACGTAAGAGTTCCAGGATACCTCCAAGCGAGACAGAACATTTCAAAAACTGCAGACCAGCTTTCAAGAAGGACAGGAACAAGTGAAGTGAATAGATGTAAATTGTGGTTTTTGCTTTATTTTGTTTCTGGTTTTTGATTTGAAACTTCCCAGATGAATTGGCTTATCTTTTTTTTCTTTTTCTTTTTGAAACAGAGTTTATATAGCTCTGGCTGTCTTGGAACTTGCTCTGTAGACCAGGCTGGCTTTGAACTCAGTGCTGGGATTAAAGGCATGTGTGACCACCACTTGGCTGGGTTCTTTGTCTTATGACTTTTTTTTAACATATATTTATGTGTGTGCACCTGCACAGAGGTCAGTTGGTTCTAACCTTCCATCATGTGAGACCTGGAGAACGAGCTCAGGTTCCCAGCCTTATCAGCAAGCTCCTTTGCCCACCGAGTCACCTTACTGGCCCAAGCTTTCCCCTACTTTTGAAGGTGGGTAGGTGTAGGAAGACAGTTTGACAGCCGAGGAGAGTGAGGCGGGGCTGGAGAGAGGTGTGCATCTATGGGTCCCTGTTGTCTGTCTCCAGCCTGCTTGTGGGAGAAAAGAGACCTGAGCCCAAGGAAGCTTCACCTCCGTATCAACTCACTGTAAGAGTGGGATGGAGGAACGTGCAGTCCAATCCTAACCTCACACTTTGATACTGCCTGACTCTCCTGATTGCTGTCAGATTTCTTTCTCAGCAGGTCTCCCCTGGCCTTGAGTCTCATGTTGTGTTGCCTGGATGGAGCTGGCTCGTTGTTTCAAGGGTGTTATCTGCTTCTTGTCTTCTCAGTCCCAGCCACAAGAGCCTTGTCTCCTACCCTTGGGGATGGGTGGGAGAAGCCACAGTGTGAAGGCTTCCTTTGTATATAGCTTTGGGTTGTTTCTGCCTATTCACTCTCTGGGGAGAAGTTGGTCCTGTCTGGGCCCATGCTCTGTCCTGGGGTCACCGACGATGCCCCAGCAGAAGTGTGGCTGCTGAGCATGAAATAGAGTGGCAGCTGGGGGACCTGGAAACGGGCAGTGTCACAGCTGGTTCCGATGTGGAAACTGAGCATGATTCAGTTCTTTCTGGCCCTTAAAATCTCTTGACTGTTTTTCTGAAGGCTGGAAAGAAAGCCCGCCTTCTGGTCAGCTCCATCTTCTAAGTCTGTATATGAAGGGACAGGATTCTGTGACTTCTCAAGCCAGAGGCAGTGTTCGAAGAACAACATATGCTTCAGAGATGGGGAGGATTGAGGTGAATCTAACCTGTCAATTTTCAAGGCATAGGGCCCTGGGCCCTAACTTTTTTCATTTTGTCCGGTGGAGTCAAACCAACCACCCGGAATCAGGATGTCACTGTGTCACCTGGGGTAGCTACTGTCCCTGAACAGCTGAGCTTCCTTCCCAGGTTAGTGAGAACAGCAGTGAAGTATGGGAAATACTTAGCATGCCATCTGGCACATAGTAGGCCATGTTTACCATGTTTGCATTCTGTAAGGGTCATGTCCATGCACAGAGCTGGAGAGGAGTGGCATGATATCGCACTTCCGGAAGTATCACCGGCATCCCGACTTAGTGTAAATAGTCCTCCATAGAAATGAGAATGTGGGCACCCACAGCAGAGAAAGCCATGAAGGAACCCTGACTCCTTGTTCTGATTAAGTTCCTTCTTCTCTTGCTGCACAGTGGAAAGCCCTTCCGCTGGATGTCTCTCCGGACTGGGCAGGGAGGAGCCAGTGCTCGGCTTCCTTAGTGGCTTCTTTCATCTTTTCTTCTCCCCTTTAAACATCTGGGCCTGGTGGCTTTATTTATGGTGGACAAAGTTGTTTCAACTGCAAACTTTCTGGTTAGTGGTGGATTGTACTAGAATCAAGGCTGTGGGCAACTGTGAGATGAGCTGCTTAATGTACTTATAGCTTTCCTACAGGGAAAAGTGAAGTTCTTAATCCAGGCAGAGGAGAACAGCTGAAGACACTTCCCGGGCGTGTTTAGTGTATACACACAAGACCCTCATCTAAATAAAAATCCCTCTGCTTAGTGGAAATGATGGGGCATCTCAGTATGGCGGTGACTCTGATAGCAAACAGAGACCCTAAATGCTGTGTGAGGCCTTTCTATGACTTTTCTTTTCTTTCTTTTTGAAAAATATTAACAAGTGCCTGCATATGTGACATAGTGTAAAGCATCTGGGGACTATCTTCAAACCCTAGCGACACATACACAAACAATAAATAAGAATAAAATTAAATTTAACAGATAACCATGAGACTTGTTTAAGAATGCTGTAGGAAAAAGTAGATGGTGGTGCATGCAGTCAAACAACAGGAAAAAGTCAGTGTTGAAAGCTGGCCAGGAAAATAATGGACTCGCATATTCCACTGCCTTGATGACAGTAGTAAATGCTAGGCTTTCCTGACAATCACTGTGTGTTAGTATGACCATTGTTTTAGGAAACAATAGGCAAAAAAAAAAAAAAAAAAAAAGCTCAAGCCTTTCTAGATCCATATGGGAAAAGAACAACAAATAAATAAACAGCACAGTTCACTGAGAGATATTACTTGTTCCTTTACCCGCCCCACCCTGCCCCGCCCCGCCCCAATTCTGTATGTGGACTTCAAACTTACCATCACAGTGTAGTTCAGCTCCACCCCACCGCTCTTCAATGTTTCCATCCCCGCTGCCAAGACCTTAGATGTTTCTGGTGACTGTCTCAGCATACCGAGGAGGATGCAGTCAGAACACTCAAGTAATTTAGCGGTGCTTTAAAAAAAAAAAAAAGCCTGAAAACTCAAGTGAACATCATGGAAGAAGAGATGTCAGTGTCTGGGGATTCTCCACATTTGTTGTCTTTTTCTTCCTCTGTTTTTCTCTCATTTGTTACCTAAAAATTCAGACACATATGTATTCATTTTATTTAATTTCATCATATCTTTTCCGCCTTTCTGTGTATGTGTATGCACGTGTGTTTGTGCATGGATGTGTGTGTGTGTGTGTGCAAATGTGTGTGTACGTGTGTGAGCGTGAGTATGTACATACGTGTGTGTGCACGTGTGTCTGTGATGTGCATGTACGTGCATGAGTGAGTGTGTGTGTGTGATGTGCACCTGAGAGGGTATAAGGAGAACTTTGTACTCTATCACTTTTTGCCTTATTTCCCTGAGACAGGTTTCACTCAAGTTGGAGTGAGGTCAGAAGTCAGCAGATTCCAGTGACCTTCCTCTTCTGTCCTCTATAGTTCTGGGGTTACAGGCACAAGAGGCTATGCCCAGATCTTCACTTGGGTGTTGGGGACTTGAACTGAGGTCCTCATGGTTGTGCAATAAGTGCTCTTATCCATTGAGTCTCCTCAGTCCACATTTATTTTTCTTTTGCTACTTTTTTAGTCAACACCTAATAATTGTACTGAAGAGGTTAGTATATCTTATTTACTTAATTTCTGAATATTACCAGGTGTTATTTAACCCCTAAGAAGATGGAAAGATACACTTTAGTTTCCCTTTTGTAAACTGACTTCCTAAATACTTGTTAAGTTAAGACAGATCATAAACTTTTAGCAAAGATGTGTCCTGTCAACTAAAAAACTCACCATATTGCATTATTTAAAAATTGTCCCTAATACAGGCAAATGTTCTTACTCTTTAACAAGGAAGGGGTTTTACTTAGGAGAGGACTAAATTGGGTGTGTGTCTGCATAACTTTCTCCTCCTCCCCCTCCTCCCTTTGTTGTTAGCTTCCCTCTCCCTAAATAGACTGCAGAGCCTTGCTCCTTCCCTTGTGGGTAAGGATGGCTTCTACTGAAGGAGAAAGAGAGTCAAATTGCTGCCTTGTATTAAAGACTTAATTTAAAACAAATTCTGATATAAGTAGAGAAGGGAAACATCGGGTTATTCATCTTTCTTCTCCTTATGGGTGACTGTGACTTTTCATAAAAGCCTACTGTTTTTTCCCCCCAGATAGCAGGGCCATTTCTAACTCCTGTTTTTTGGTGGTGGGATGGTAGGTACACAGATGGAAACAGGCCTAGCAAGCCTCTGCCTTTGGGAACGCCAATAGAGGGTGCGGTTTTATCACTCCTCCAGAGTTTTCAGACTGGACAGTCAGCACCCCACACACCCTCACCTGTCCAAAGCTACTGCTGATATGAAGTATATTCTCCTATTCTCCTTTGTTTGTGTCTAAACATTTTCCCTTCCGGTTCAGCTGGAGGTCACTGCAAGTTGGCCTCTAACTCCCTTTTATGTGTGGTGGCCTGTCATTTCTCAGCGGTTTCGATGTGGCTGTCTTTGAGTGCCACAGGAATTCCACCCTGAGTTTATTCATCTGCTAGGAAGGAAAGAACTGTGGGTACTCATTTCCCTTGTTTTGCATGGATTATAAAAGAGGGGAGATTTTAATGAGGTAAACTGAGTTTGTGACTCTCATTGTGTTAAAGTCACATTAAAGTTTGTGATTGGGGTGTAGGCAGGAGAAAGCAGAACCAAAATGAGACTCCCTTTCTTTTATCTGTCTGTCCATCACACGTATCCACTCATCCATCTATGTCTTGTATTTGCCCACCCACTTATGCATCCAGTCCTGGTCATGATATAAATGTATAGGCATTTCCCCCCTTGTCTAGTGAGTTTCATACAGTAAATCTAACATCCCCAACACATGCAAAATCAGCCATCAATCCTGGAATGTTGAGCCTGATTTCCTGGCTGCTTTATCTGTGCTTAGGAAATAAAGGAGCTCTAAATGGATTGGAGACCATTTCTAGTCTTACATGTGAAAGCTAAAGTGAATCTGAATGTTCTTAGTTTTCACAAAGGTGAGGAATGGTGTAAGTGCTCATGGGTGTGATTGTGCATGTGTGTTCTGTGTGTAAATAAAAGTAGCCTAAATGTATAACACTTATTTTGAAGCATGAAGTATTTTGAAACCAGTAGCTGTTCATGGTATAGACTGGTTGTATTGACTCAAATTAGTTGTTTGGCAATAAGACCTTTCCCCCCTTGCTTCTCAATCCTCCGGATCCTCTGAGGGTGCCTGGGCATTGAGAAACCTCTACTGGTGGCTGGGTGTGTACTCTTTACGGCTAGGAACAGCCTCTCTTTATTGTGTATCTATGTCTTGCTCAGGAGGTGCATCTAGTCCATTGTCAATGAGAACTGTTGTAGGCTACATGACAAATATGATGACTAGGTAAGACTTGAATCCTTAGTTTGCAGTTGTTGTTAAAGAAAGACTGTTTCCTCTCTGTGGTTAGATAGTGTGAGCTAGCAAGCCTGAGTAGAAACCAGAAAGATAGCTTGCTGCATTAAAGGCAATAAGGGCACCCTAGGTGGCGTGTGGTGCTGTAACTTGAACTTGTCCATGGTTTTTAGGATGCCAGCTAGAAGTCTTGTTGTTCTGATTAGTGTCTTGTCTGGCAACTCTAACCAGCCATCTCAAGTTAAGGTTTTTAACTAAAATACCTGTCCTGCTGTGGTTGAGAGAAATCAGAGTGCACTAAAGGGAAACCATGTGTTTCAAGCTGTGTCATCCAGTAAAATAGTCATTAGACATATGTGGCCATTTGAATGAAAATCACTAAAATTAAAAAAAAGCATCAAAATTTCAATCTCAGTAGCTCCACGGCATAAGTGAAATGGCCCTATGTAGCTTGTTGCTACCCTATTTGGTACAGCCAATTTAAATATTTAAATTCCTTAAAAAATCTGGACTATCAGGAAGGCTCAGCAGGTAGAAACACTGGCCACCAAGCCTGACAGTTTGATTTCGATCCTTGGTACCCACATGGTACCCTGAAACTTGTTCTCTGACCTCCACACACACACCTCATGACATGTATGCTCACTGATACACATACACACATGCAGTAGATGAATTAATAAAAAAATTAAAAACCTTGACTAGATGAACTATTTTTTTTTTAACCCAAGAACTGTTCATTTGTGTGTTGGTGTTTGTGACCATGATCGACACCATGCAACACAGGATCTTGCCTGGTCCTCTGTCTCTGCCTAACAATGTTCACTCCAGCAAGGGAAAAGGAGTAACTCGTCCAGGTCTTTGTAATGTGCACTGACTACCTCAAGAAAATGGTGTGGAAAACTGAGATGAATACCATCTTGTTTCTCATTTTTGAAGAGCCTGATTATACTCATTCAGCCAGGAGACACTGAACTAAACACTGAGTTTCTACACATTAAATAAAGCATAGCCCCTGCCTTCACAGAACCCAGAGCATGGGGCAAGCAATAGACACATAAAGCCATAAGTCTAATATGATCAGGTAAGTATAAGAGAATTGTGAATGTAGAGATGGGGATGAGGCTCAGTTAATAAAGTATGCCTGGCAAACCATGGGGTTCCATCCCTGGTACCCCATAAACTGGTTGTATTAGCTCATGCCTAAAACCTCAGCATTCCGGGGATGAGATTCAAGGTTATTTGCTACATAACATGGCTAAATAACGAGTGCAAGGTCATCCTGGACTATAGGAGGCTTTGACCTGAAAAAACAAAACAAAACAAAACAAAATAACAGCAACAAACAAACACACATGCATGGAACACAAAGTAAAAGTAACAGGGAGTATAAGTAAAAACAAATACATGGGTTTGGGACTTAAATGATAGATTATATTAAATCTTTACAAAGGTATTTGTCTCTGCTGCCTGTTGAGAAAAACAAGGACCAGAAAAACCAATGGACATAGCCTACTGTAAGTCAACTCATTCTGTAGGGCAGAGGTTGCCAAACGAGCAGTGCATTGTGTATTGGCATCTTTGGAGTTGATTGTTAGGGCCATGTCTGTGGAGTGAACTTGCCGGACCAGTGCACTTGGTGTGTGATGGGTGTGCCCACTCACCCTCTCTCCCTGTCTGGTCTTTGCAGCTCTCTGCGCCATTGTCGCCACCATCTGGTTCCCCGTATGTGCCCACCGTGAGATCACCATCGTGAGCTTTGGCTACTCGCTGTATGCAGGTTGGATCGGTGCTGTGCTGTGCCTGGTGGGTGGCTGTGTCATCGTCTGCTGCTCCGGGGATGCACAGTCATTTGGAGAAAACCGTTTCTATTACTCGTCTGGCTCCAGCTCGCCAACGCATGCCAAAAGTGCCCACGTATAAGAGGGCTGCTCCACTGCCCACCGAGGTGCTGTAGATGCTGGGCCTGGGGCCCTGGGTTTGCTCGCCGCAGTGGGGGAGAAGCCCACTCTCTGCCAGGCACTAAAGCCAAAGGTCTAGAAAGCATCCTGCCTGGTGGTTTCCAGTCTTAACACCCCATCCACCCCACCACTTATTGGTTCTTAAAAAAGAAATCTCTAGCTCAGATTATGCCCACATAGTTTTCTCATTGTGTTGCCCGCTGTTAGCTCTTTCCTCGGGCATTCCATTGTTGTTGATTAAAAAAATATTTTGTTTCTCTCTTAAATTCAAATGTCTTGGGAACATTGCTGACTTGGGTGTGGACTGGGAGAGAAACAGAAGACGTTGTTCAAACGGTTACCAACCACAATGGAACCCTCATAGAGACACCTCACTCTGGTTTTTTCCCCTCTTCAGTTTTAAGGCCACTTACACATAAGAGATAGAAAATGATAGACTAGGGGACACACGTGGGAGGGACTTGGGAACAGTCTCTCTGTGAGAATGCTTCCCTTTGATAAGTTGTGGGGTTGGGGCTCTTTCTTAGTTTGTGATTTTACATTTATCTGTACATACTTTTTCAAGATTGATTGTTTTTATAACCATGGGTTTCCTGAAATTCTCAATTCACCAATATGAAGGAAATGATCCAAACAGACTTTAATATGCAGTAAGTAACAGTACGAAGATTATAACTTTAACTGACCGTCCACGTTTTCCAGGTTTGTATGCTGTAGTTTTTAATTCTACAGTTGTGTGTGCTTCAAATTAACACATTTCTCCCCCTGCCATCTCTGTTAGCAATCTTGAAGTGATGTTGTTTAACATAGATTGTACTGTTGAATTTGGCTTCCTGGGTGTAAACACTATGGTCTGTCAGTATCCGAGACGCCAAACAGGGTTGGTGCATTTTTTTCAGGTAAAATCCATGCAATAAAATAACAAAGTGTCTCCAAAACTGGCCTTTAGTCTTCTGTTGTGTTCAGAGTATCAACTGATTAAAAACAAAACAAAACTCAGCAAATTAATTTCTAATCCCCAACTAAGAACAAATCATTTGGGGTTGAGGAGTGGGCTCTGTTGGTAAAGTGGTTAAATACTGGCATCTAAATTCAGTTATAGACAGCTAAGTAAAGAGTTGGTAACCCCAGTGTGAGAGATCTTGTTTAAAACACACACACACACACACACACACACACACACACACACACGGGGGAGGGGAGGGATGGGGAAGGAAGGGAGAGAGAGAGAGAAAGAGAGAAAGGGTGTGAACCCTTCTGGATTTCCTTGGCTGGTTAAACGCTATGCTTTATTCACTATCTCATGGTGGCGGTACATGATCATGAAAATGTGACCTCACTGTTCTTGAGGTATCTTAAATGTGACTTTCTTGTGTCTGTGTCAGGGTAAACGTGTAGCCACAAGAGCCAAGTCATAAGCACAACACAGCCCAACTATGGCTTCAAACACTCAATGAAAAGACTGGCTAAGCCTCAAGGGAGCCTTGAACAAATTCATTTTAGATGTGTTTTGTCCAAACATGCGCAAGACAATTTGGACAAAGTGTGGATTTATTTATTTATTTTCTATTCCAGAAACTGTCAGGCTGTGAGCTTGCTCTAAGAGACCAGATTATAATATATTTTGGTTTTCTCCCAAATTATTCAGGCTCAGGAGAAGGCTCAGTGGACAAATTGCTTGCCATGCAAGCCTGAAGGTCTGAATTCCAAGCTCCAGAAGCCGTGTAACAGCTGGAGTAACATCTGGAGGCAATAATGCTGTATGCCCACATCAGGAGGCAAAGGCAGGGATGGGGCAGTTACCGGAAGCTTGTGGATCAGCTAGCAGCAGTGATCCCGAGAGACCCAGACTCAAAAAGCAAGGTTGAAAGAGAGGAAGGACATCCAGGGTTGTTTTCTGACTCCCACTTGTTCCATCGTACATGTGCTCCCCCAACACACACACACACACACACACACACACACACACACACACAGAGAGAGAGAGAGAGAGAGAGAGAGAGAATGAAAACATGAAAACACTAATTTCATTATGGAGTATCCGTAAGATCAACAAACATTCTCTTCGGAAATGCCCATGCTCAGATACCACAGTAGAAATGATTTCTAATTTACTTAGGCAGAAAAGGCCTCCTTCATGTTAATAAACATGCTTAATTTGTCAGGATCCAGTGTTTGTAAGGCTGAGTCATATGAGAGGACATTCTTTGCCACACTGCCCTGTCAGGGTTTTAGGATTATGAAAGTGAAGGACAGAGAGTAGGTACATGAAGCTGGAGGCCTCCCGTTCTCCGCTGGTCTGAAGCATCATCATGTAGGTGTTCTCTGTCCAGGGGGGGCTTGTGCTTTTCCTCTCCTGGATCTTTCTCCAAGGCTGCTGCAAATGAGAAATGAGACTTTAGTCTCCTTGATGATGTTGCTTGACTAATCGAGGAGCACATCTTGCAAGCCATGTCTGAAGTGTTAGGGCTCATTATCAGTTTGTGGTAGGAGACGAGATGATCTTTGAGACTACCACCATCCAACAGGAAGCTGTGAGCCATGTCTGAGACTTGAAAACTTCTGATAGTCACATTTAAAAAAAGCTAAAAATGGACAAGTGAAATGAATTTTAATATATTTTATTTAATGTAATCCATTCAAATTATTCTCATTTCAATATGTACACAGCTATCAGATTCTCCACAATGTTCTCTTGGTGTTAGGATTTTGGGTTCTGGTATGTTTTATACTTACAGTTTGGATCAGCCGTATTGCAAGGGGCAAGTAGCCGTGGGCTAGAGGCCATTGAATTAATTAGCCCAACTACAAAATAATAGGTTCTGTCTTTGTGATCCTAAAATGAATTCAATTTTATTTTATCTGCTTTCCTAGAGTTCCATCAGAATGCGGCCAATACACCTTTTGGACAGTCAAAGTAAATCATAATTCATGTGGAGACCCCCCCATCCCCAGCACACCCCAAATGGCAGTCTTAATGTACTATACTGTCCACCTAAACCACAGGGAGCAGAGAGCCCCAGGTCTTGGGACCTGGTCCCGCAGGAGCTTTCCATCTTTTATCTTCCCACAGTCCCTGCTTTTTAGATGAGGAAATCAGAGTGGAGTGTTTATGTGGCTTGTACAGTACAGAATGGAAAGGGACTTCAGCCTACATAGAGTCTTCATTCTACACCTAAAATCCTCATCACTCTAGGGGGTCAGATATTCACTTTCTTCTCTTCTGAATGCTCACTCAGTAGATCTGAGTCCAGAGCCAAATGCATGGACATTTTTGGGTGTGTCCTGTGGCCACTCTGCTGGGGTGGCCTCCAAAACACACTTTGAGAAACTGGATTGAAAATGTTTTTTTCATGTTTTTCTGGAGTGCGGAAATCCCATCCCTTGTCTCCTCTTTGACGCTCACTGGAGACAGGATGATTTTGAGAGTGAGACCATCAGTTCTCCAGCCTGCTTTGAATAGACAGCACGGAGGGATCTTTGCATTGAAAATAAACCCGTTCTATTCATGCTTTCCAAGAACTTGATAGGAATCAAATTAAAGCTGAGAATGTTTCCAGGGAAGCGTTGGATTTGGAGATGCTGGTGACAAGGCTGGGACAAAAGGAAAAGCCTGTGAGCTTGGAGAATGCAAGTTACACACCCGTGCTGCTGGGTGGCTTGGTGTAACAATAGAACAAGGTCCGGCTGTCTCTTCATGCCTCTTTTCTTGTTTTAATTAAAAATAACCTGCGTGTCAGTGTTTCTCTATACAATGTACACAGTGAGCTGCAGCATATTAAATGTTTGGCAGGACATTCGTGCTCATGACATCACACGCTGCGAGGACAGGGAGGCCACTGTGGGACTGGCCCTGGGGATGGGCAGCATCAGTGCAGCCTTTGAGATGGCCCCACAAAAGAGTGTGTGACAGCCAGATGTGCTGCTCATGGAGACTGAAGCAGGATTGTGGGAGGAACGTTGGCACATGCTGCTCGAGGCTTGAATAGCAGCTCTTGAGGAATCTATACTTCTTTAGCTCATGCAAACCAGAGCTCAGGCACTGCGGCTGTGTCTGGAAGAGTGAGTGGAGATGGGGGTACTTGTCACTGCTTCATGTCCCCTTGTAGAAATAAAAAAATGTGGCAATGTGGCGCCATTCCTAGAGGACTGTGGAGGACAAGAGTCACGTCCAGGGAGGTTCCAGAACAGCAGTGGCACCCATTGTCACAGCCCAGACCTGTGTTTAACTAAGACTGTTCTCTCTCTCTTTTTCTCCCCCCCAAGCTATTTGTAACTCAACTGTGAGTCTTGTTGAAATGCAGATTCTGATCAATCCAAGTGGTCAGGCCCGAGATTCTGCATTTCTTAAAAACAATAGCATGGGAATTCTCCACATAGTGTGTATGTGGAGGCCAGAGGACAGGGGACCAGTTCTCTCCTTTCTACCACATGGGTCCCAAGGATTTAGCTCAAGTTGTTGGACTTGGCAGCAAGCACCTTTTCCACTGAGCCACGACACTGGCTAGGTTCTGCATCTCTAACAGGCTTTTAGAATCTGCTGGGATTCCTGATCCATTCTGCACCTGGGGTGACCATCCTCCCTGGGCTGAACACAGGCCGTCCTTATGCACATACATCACAAGGGTGCCTCTTTTGTACACATTTCTGGGACTCAGTTGGTGTCTTTCTGAATAATTTTGAGCTTTGTTGGCTGATAATTGTGGTGTAGAACCATCATTTGACTTCGGGGATTTGTTCTTCATGAAGGCATTGAGTACCCTGTAGGCTGAATTGTCTCCTCAAAAATGGCCACTTAAGGTCTATGGATTTTGTTTGCCAATTGGTATGAGTGGATCACTCTCTTCCTGCAGATCCAGATGTAGGCCTCTCAGCTCCCACTCTAGCACTACATCTGCCTGCAGGCCACCATGCTTCCCATCATGATGCTGTAAGCCAGCCCTAAAGAAATATTTTCCTTTATAAGAGGTGTCATGGTTATGGTGTCTCTTTAGCTGAGACATGCCTGAAGGCAACTATCTTTACCTACAGAACCATTTTGCTCTCCTGCCTTCTAGACATTTAATCCCATGCTTGTGTTGGGTAGACAGCTTACTTTTTATGTTTTGCCTGGTTTTATTCACTGTTTTAACAAAAGGTAATGGAAACACACCTTGAGATAGATGTGAGGAGGCCCTGTACTTGGGCAGCTGAAGGTCTTTGTGTGTTTTCTTTGTTTTTGCCCTGACCTTCATGAATAAGGTAGAACTTTCCATAACATAGTAAG